CTTTATTTTTTAACTCTTTATAATAGTGTGTGGATATTGATACCTCTATAAATATATGTTTATATATTGTCCCTCGTTACTAATGATGCAACAACTTAAGTTTAGGCAAAAGCCAAACCAAAAGTGCTTTTCGAACATGGCTAATTGTATATGGAACGTGTTAGCTACCCTAACTTAGTATAATATAAAATTATTTTAAAAGTTACGATGACTTATATCCTCTTCTATTCTTTATCATACACATTCATTTGACCTTTTTGTGATAAATGCATTTGAATATTGGAAAAATAGTCATGAGTAATCTTATTTGATTCACCTCTAAATTCACTTTTTTTTTAGTTAATTATTTTTACTAATATGTAATTAAATTAAAGGTATTAATGATATATAAAAATACATTTATAACAACCTTGTAATAGGTTTTATATGGAGTAAAATATATTTTAAAATAAAAAGTTCCACAAATTCTTGAATGCTTCTGACTTTCTTTAGCTTATTGAAATGTAAAAATGCTTCTGACTTTCTTTAGCTTATTGAAAGACAGGTTAGAGTTAGCCTAAAAAATTTTAAGTTACGCTTTTAATATAACATTAAAATTACTACTTGAATACATTTGACTTTCATTAGCTTATTGAAAGACATGTTAGAGTTATCCTAAAAGTTTTTAAAGTTGCGTATTTTATATAATATAAAAATTACTACTTGTATATTTAACATAAATTTTACCCTTTAAAACACTAAATAAATAATGTATTAGTTTGATCTAGAGCCGTCAATTCGGGTAAACGGATCGGGTTTGAGAAGGGTTAGTGTGAGTTGGGTCGGGTCAATACGGGTTAATGTCATAACATATGCGGGTCGGTTCGGGTTGGGTCATGCTTAAGTCGGGTCACGTCGGATCATACATTTTATCGGGTTTGGGTCGGGTTAGTAAAAGGTTGGGTTAAAAAAAAAAGAAAAAAAAAGGGAAATAAAAAAAAATAAATAAATAAAAAGGGATAAAAACAAACTTTGCCAACACCACAACCCATAAGAACGGTTGAACTGTAGAAAATTCTGTACAAATTGTAAAAAAAAAAAAAAGAAAAAAAAAAGGAAATAAAAAAAATTAAAAAGGGATAAAAACAAACTTTGCCAACACCACAACCCATGAAAACGGTTGAACTGTAGAAAATTCTGTACAAATTCAAAAAAAAAAAAAAGAAAAAAAAAGGGAAATAAATAAATAAATAAATAAAAGGGACATGGATGGAATTTATAGGAAACAATATACTGTGCAACTGCCCTTTTGATGCAAACCATGTTTTCTCTTTTTAGAAGACTAGTTGGGTCGCTGCGTGCTACGCACGCATCAACCAACTGTAATAATTTATATAAAATTTTCAACCTATAAGTTAAATATTTAAATTGTATAAATTAAAAAAATGTATACAATTAAAAAAAAGTATTAAAAGGGAATGCATAGTAAGTGTTATTATGGAGCATTTTTACCAAAACTAATACTCCATAGAAATATAATCATATTATTCAACAACTAAGCTGTAAAAAAAATTACCATTTGACATAAACCCTACAAATAAATAATTAAGTTAGATTGCATTAAAAAAACATTTTAAATTAAAAGTGTATGTGATGTATTGTGAATAATAACGTTAATAATTAATTAGTAAAAATCATTGCTTGGATGCAAAAGGCTTACAATAATATTTGGTACAAAGAATGAGCCTACATATGATATGTATATCATATTTATTTCTCATAATCATCTTCAAAAAATAATAAATCTACTTCAATTATATTTTGGGTCACCTATTGTCATTCAAATACTAAAGCTGACTGCAGTCTATATCCCTGCATTTTAAAAAGTTTAATTAAGAAAATTTAGATTATACTCTCTAAATTATTTATTTAATTCTCTATCCACATTAATGATAAATGTCTTTATTTTTTAACTCTTTATAATAGTGTGCGGATATTGATACCTCTATAAATATATGTTTATATATTGTCCCTCGTTATTAATGATGCAACAACTTAAGTTTAGGCAAAAGCCAAACCAAAAGTGTTTTTCGAACATGGCTAATTGTATATGGCACTTGTTAGCTGCCCTAACTTAGTATAATATAAAATTATTTTAAAAGTTACGACGACTTGTATCCTCTTCTATTCTTTATCATACACATTCATTTGACCTTTTTGTGATAAATGCATTTGAATATTGGAAAAACAGTCATGAGTAATCTTATTTGATTCACCCCTAAATTCACTTTTTTTTGTTAATTATTTTTACTTATATGTAATTAAATGAAAGATATTAATGATATATAAAAATGCATTTATAACAACCTTGCAATAGGTTTTATATGGGGTAAAATATATTTTAAAATAAAAAGTTCCACAAATTCTTGAATGCTTCTGACTTTCTTTAGCTTATTGAAAGACAGGTTAGAGTTAGCCTAAAAAAATTTTAAGTTCGCTTTTTATATGACATTAAAATTACTACTTGAATACATTTGACTTTCATTAGCTTATTGAAAGACATGTTAGAGTTATCCTAAAAGTTTTTAAAGTTGCGAATTTTATATAATATAAAAATTACTACTTGTATATTTAACATAAATTTTACCCTTTAAAACACTAAATAAATAATGTATTAGTTTGATCTAGAGCCCTCAATTCGGGTAAACGGGTCGGGTTTGAGACGGGTTAGTGTGAGTTGGGTCGGGTCAATACGGGTTAATGTCATAACATATGCGGGTCGGGTTCGGGTTAGGTCATGCTTAAGTCGGGTCACGTCGGGTCATACATCTTATCGGGTTTGGGTCGGGTTAGTAAAAGGTTGGGTTAAAAAAAAAGAAAAAAAAAGGTAAATAAAAAAAATAAATAAATAAAAAGGGACAAAAACAAACTTTGCCAACACCACAACCCATGAGAACGGTTGAACTGTAGAAAATTCTGTACAAATTTAAAAAAAAAAGAAAAAAAAAGGGAATTAAAAAAAATAAATAAATAAAAAGGGATAAAAACAAAATTTGCCAACACCACAACCCATGAAAACGGTTGAACTGTAGAAAATTCTGTACAAATTCAAAAAAAAAAAGAGAAAAAAAGGGAAATAAAAAAATAAATAAATAAAAGGGACATGGATGGAATTTATAGGAAACAATATACTGTGCAACTGCCCTTTTGATGCAAACCATGTTTTCTCTTTTTATAAGGTTATAGAAAAAGGTTCGCCGGTGCCTGGGAGGGGGTTTGGCGTCGGCCGCAAAGGAGGGGTTTTTTTGAGGGTTGGGGAGGGTTTTAAGGGGAGGGGAAACGGAGGGAGAGGGGCTGGGGAGGGCCGGGGGTGTCCAGGGTGGAGGGGATGGCCTCACCGGCGACCGGCACCGGTTTCCGGCTAGGGGGAGGGGGACCACCGGCGCCGACGGCCGTTGGAAGGGGTTGGCTTGGTAGGGGAGGGGTGGGTTTATTATTTTTTTTATATTAATTAAGTAATTAATTAAATTAATTGATTAATTATTTAAAAGAAACCAATTGCAGCATGCCACATGGCATAATTAACCTTAATGACTAACGGAATTAACCACCGTTAGTCATTAAGGGCATTTCGTGACATATTTCTTAAACTCAAGTGTATTTGGTGAATTTGAAAATTATGATGGGTATTTGGTGAATAAAAAAATTACTCAAGAGCATTTCATGAAATTTCCGTAAAAAAAATTGTACAAGAAAAATAGTAGGTTTAATAGTTTGTTGAAAAGTAACGAATGTGAGGGGAAAAAAATGAATAAAAAAAGAAGAAGTATTGAGTTTGAGGGAGGACCATGATAAGAGAGATATATATATTATTAAAGTGTAAATTTTTTACCAAAATAATGTAATACTTTTTAGAACTTGCCGCATTTGATAAGTGTAAACTTATTAAAATACGGAAAGTGTAATGAGTAATATGTAATTTATACTTATTAATAATTAAATATATTATTGGTCAACATTTTACATCGATATGTGTACCAAGTTATCACAAAATTACGATCGAAATACGTAAATACTCCCTCCGTGTTTTTTTAAGTGATACATATTGACCGGCACATTGTTTTAGGCAATTTAATTGACTTAAATAAAATAAGAGGTAAGTGGGGTAGTGGAGTATTAAAAAATTGTTAAAGAAAGATAATGGAGTTAATAGTTTATTGAAAAGTAATGAATATGAGAGGAAAGATATAATAAAAAAGTAGTTGTGGGTTTGGGTGGGGGCCATGAGAGGAGAGAGATATAATATTTTAATGTATTGTTTTGCCAAAAAAGGAAATGTATCACTTAAAAAACACGACCGGAAATGGAAAATGTATCACTTAAAAAAAACACGGAGGGAGTAGAAAGATTTTTGTAAAACGGATGAAGTAATATATAGTGTATATAAAGGTGTCCTACATTCTATACGGTTATACCTATGATGTCTATATACTCCCTCCGTTTTTAATTACTTGCTCCATTTCTCTTGGGCAAGTATGCAGATGCTAATCTTTGATCAATTATATGTTTAATTATCAATAAGTATAAATTCTAACAATTAAAAATTAATAATCTATTCATTGAGACAATTCCAACAAGCACCCACAAAATTATATTTTTTTTTATTTATAAATCACAAACATTAGTCAAAGTAGGACAAATAAATAGTGTAAAAATAGAAATGGAGCAAGTATTTAAAAACGGAGGGAGTATATAATAACTATCCATGTAATATAAAGGAGAATACTTCCAAAAAAAATGTAGTTTATCACTTTATATTAGTAGGACATGTTTGGTAGATAAACTCTAACCTACAAAAAGTCACCAACGTAAGCCAAAAAAAAAAAAAAGTAAGAAGCAGCAAACTCAGTAGGAGATAAATGGAATTGTGCAATATCTTTGTATTGTACAACTACCCTTTAATAGAAAACCATCAATTCTCTTTTTATATAGTATAGATTTAAGAACATAATAGCCAAGAGTAAGGCAAACGCCACAAGAGTTCCTAGATAATACTGAACAATACTATAATATCACTTGGGAAACCTTTACTCTATGAAGAGTAAGGCAAAGACCAAAAAGTTCCCAAGTAATACTTTAACATAACATCACTAGCCAAATCTCTACTCTAAGATTAATGACCAAAAGAATTCCTAAATAATACAATAAATATCATTTAATCTCACACCAATCGACCTCAATACGAAGAAGATAACTATTTGTCTCTACAATCTTGAAACCTTCACCAATTTCAATTTTTGTAGCACATGAAAAGTTTTCATCAGATTTGCCAAATAATATATCTACGTTGACAATAAGAGAGGCATATGATGGAACAACAATCATGGATCTTGAAAGTGGTATTCTCGAATCATCACTTACTTGAATTAGATCATCCTGATTCTTCTCGAATAACACAATCCGGTAGTAGTCTTTGTTAAAGCGCGATGTATAGTCATAGCAACTATATTGAGCAATAAGGCTACCCCAAATCTTAGGACAAACATCACCACATCCTGTTTTAGGATTTAGAAACACCTTAATGTTTGCACCAACAGCTTCTGAGAAGATTGAATAGTGTATTGCTGCAAATCCTCCCTGTTGACCCGGAATAAGAGAACACAATTGCTTTTCATACCACAAAGAAGTGAAGTACAGAAGCTGCCCAATCCACTAAGCCTCGAATAGCTAAACGGTCTTCAGTATCCTTTATGCTAAACTTCATTTGTAATGAACTACAATCATCAAAATCTCTGGAACCATCTGATACAGGTAATGATTTCTCATTTTCAGATAATATCAAGGCATCTTTTTTATCTCTGTTAAAGATATAACAAATCTTGTCATCATCATTTGATAAAACCTCAATTGAACCAAAACTTCTTCCACCAAAAAAGACAGAGAAAATCTCCAAGGCAGGAGATGCCCATGGCTTACTCTGATGAGCACGAAGATTCCTGACCAAAATTTTCAAGCAAAATCCAAGGAAAAAAATTAATTCTGTATTCAAACAACATAGTAAATAATATATACATTCACATGAACATGATATTTATATCCAAATGGCTCGAAGTCCTTAATTTGCTCAATAATCACAATCAAATAGTCCAATATTTTGGCATTTAAACATAATCATAAGACCCATTTGATACTTCACTAGTTCATGAACAAGACTAGCTCATCTACCTTCCAATATCAATTAACAGCCAAAAGTTATGTATAATAGTCCATGGATATTGATTATAACTAGAGAACCTCACAAATAAATTTAACCTCGGAATCTTTTTTATACTTGATATAAAGCCAGAAAAAAATACTACTTGATATCAATACATTACCCAACATTTAGCATTGTTGTTCATACACATTAAATAACATAAATCAAATCTCACAGTCATCCCCGTTAAAGAATAAAGTAAAGTAAAGCATTCCAACAGTATATGTAGTCAGATTATGTAAAATATAGCATTCCAAATTCAAACTTAGCAAGTGTAAGTAAATATTATTACCATAAGATATCTAAAAGACCAATTAATTCCCTACAACTCTATTGAAAATCTAATAATAAACTTGTCAATAGAATTCTACCAACCTTAACTAACATCCGATATTAATCTAATTCGAATTCAAGCTCAGTTGCCGAATCGACTAAGCACTTAGTGCATTAGAAAAATGAAAACAATACACCATTACAGAATAATCCATGTTACAGCCTAAGCCTTTAGAATCACATTTATTCTAAAAAAATTAATACTAGATAGAGGGAAAGGTGTCTAGTAAAATCTAACCTACACCGATAAATTTAAGGCAAAACACAGCCCCAAAACAAAGTTACAATTACAAGTAGGCATTCATTGGGTAAAATTGTTGCACCATTTGACAATTGTAAACATACCGACATACACTATGGATTTTATTGAGTTTCATATTTGCCAAGCAAATAACGATATTATCGACATATAAGCAAGATAGATCATATAAGAATTTTTAAGCATAGATAAACAGGCAACATACCATGAGAGTTCAAAGCTAGATGGGAATCCAATCTTAGAGTCAATCCGCTGTCCAACCACATCATGCGAGAACCATGCGACATGAACATGAATAGCTAAATCATCCAGCAAGATGGAACTTGATGTCATTCTCCCATCTTCAGCCGACAACTCCACTGATTGATCAACAATATATCGCATTGTTTTAAATTTATACAAATTAAGGACCACAACAAGAGAAGAACAAGAGAAGAATAAGCTGGTAATGACACCCAACATCTAGAAAGTTGAAACCGTTTGGCAGTGTTGATCTCAACAGGGAAGTCATGCTTCTCAAACAGAACACAATCTTTAGAAGAATAATTCCTATATGTATTGGCATAACGAGCAACAATCCTTCCATTTACATTCAAACCATCATGTTGTTTACCTTGACTACTACAAACTTTAATGTTAGATTGTTTTTGATTGCTTGAGTCTGTCTTTGTGTATACTTTCGTTGTGTATTTGTTTTTGTTAAGAATAAAAAATGGTATGTTTCTCATTTCCTCAATATAACAATGAGCCTTTTATGAATATTTCAATAGACTTGAGGGATTTCTTGATCATAATTGTTGTAGTCTTTGGGAGACTTGTGAGATTTGTTATTTTGGTTTGAATGAGCAAACTAGGGATATTGTTGAAAGCATGTATAATGGTGAATTTAGAGCATTATCAATTGACAGTGCTTGGGATTTTTATGTATGGTTTTCTAGGGATGTTTATAATAGGGGTAATCATGTTTCTAATATTGATGTGCAATGTGTCGATTCTTCTAATGTTAGCATGAATTCCCATGATTTGTCACATGATCCCATTAGTGAACCTAGAACAAATGATTACAACTCTATTTCCCCTATTTTTCATGATGACGAGGTGCATTCTAATGTTGATGAGCATGGTGTGTTTCAATATTCTTCATTATTTAGCATGCCTTCTTGTAATGTACCTTCTTTTCCCAATAATGAATCTTATATGCTTGATTGTGCCCCATCTCCCATGGTGATGATTATACTCTCCTTCTGATGTTGATGCTTATAATCTTGGTTGTGATCCTTCTCCCCTTGTTAGCCCTCTATTTTCTTCATCTTGTGAGTCTCCTATTGATTATTTAGAATCCCTAATTAGGCGTGTTGAGATTAATTCTAATTTTAGGCCAAGTAAGGAGTTGTTTTTTAAATTCTATGAGAAGTCAATTAGATATGATGAAAAGGAGTGAGGAGCGTATTGAAGAGGTAATAAGGAGAAAGGAAGAGCTAGAATGTCAATTGTCATCTTTGTTGCATGATCTTGAATTTTTCAAATCCTGTGTGTGTGTTGAGGATGATGATGATGATGTTTTTGTGCAATCAAAAGAGTGTGAGGAAGACATTAGTGAGCTTTTGAGTGTAGGAAAAGGAGTTGAGAATGAATTAAGTGATGATTTTGTGAATCCAAACCCCCTTTCTTATTTTGATGAAGTGCATGTTTGTGATTCCTTTCTTATTTTGATGAAGTGCATGTTTGTGATTCTTTTATTCATGAGTATTTGGACTCATTTGAGGTTATGTCCCATATATTTTGTAAGGTTCAAATGAAAAACCATAGCCTTTTGAGTGAGTTCATTGAGAATGCTTCATGGGAAAGAGATGAGTTTGAAATGAATTTGCATTCATTCATGCATGGTTTTGAGAGTTTGGGCTTTGGGATCTCTAAGAGGAATGTTTTTCATTGTTGTGATGGATAGGATGATGTAGTTTCTCTTGGAGATTGGATTTTTGAGGGATATGAAGTTCATGAGTGTCCATCTTTTGAAGATTCAATTATTGATTTCCATGCTCTTATTGATGATGTGAGGAATGGTGGTGAGGAAGAGTTCGTTTGTGAGACCATTGCTCCTATCCCCTCTTCTCATGTCCCTTTTTCAAGGAAATTTAACCATATCCCCTACTATCCTATGTCCATCCCTTCTTTCGCCAAGGAGCCTATTGGGGATCCTCCTTATATTTGTGATATTCAAGTTCCCCAGTCGTTGATTATTGAGGAAAAGGGTGATTTTGCCACCCAAAAACATTTTGAGGAGAGTTTGCTTCTTCTTCTTCTTCTTCTTCTTCTTCTTCTTCTTCTTCTTCTTCTTCTTCTTCTTTCTTCTTCTTATTTTGTTGAATTTTCTTTTGATTCTTCTTCTTTTTCTTGGCATCTCTCTCCTCATTTGCGTACATGATATGTCTATTTTATGTAGTGATTTACCCCCGTCCCTTGGTCATAATTAGTAGTGCTTTTGGCTCTTTAGAGCCACTTTTATTACTAATTTGTGTTTTCTAGTATATTCGTAGTTTTGGTGAGTTTTATAGGGAATTTCACACTTAGAGCATTTTTCGGGGATTATTTGGAGCAACTACGAGTATTGGAAGAGCACGATCGTCTTTCGTAGACTAAGGTCGGTTAGAGTCATCAAACCGGTGATTAAGGGCTCGACATATGAAATACCGAGGCATTGGACACCGAGTATTCAAGCCCCAAAGAGGAAATCCAGAGTGGGATAAGAAGTGAAGCCCAAATCGAAGTCCAAACCATGCCCAAGAGCCTCGCCCGATCAGGTTGCCCTCTCCCTAAGGCGCGCCCGATCGGTCGGGGGCGGAAGAAGAAGAGAAATACTCTTCGCCTGAGCTCGCGCCCGACCAGGCACGAGAAAAGCATCGAAGGCAAAAAAGGCGCGCCCGACAGGGCGGTGCCTCGCCCGACCGGCGCGAGAGATGCACACTTAATGAAAAAGGCGGGCCCGATCGGCGGTGCCTCGACCGACCGGGCGCGTGTTTTGGAGGATGATTTCCGTCATTTTTTTTTACTTAGTTTCTAATTAGTATCTTGTTAGCTTAGTATAAGTACGCTTTTGTTAAGCGAGTTTATGATTCTTTCCTTCTCCCTCTCTATCTTTCTCTCTCTCTTCTCTTTCTCTCTCTAACTTTTT